GAGAGAGAGAGAGAGAGAGAGAGAGAGAGAGAGAGAGAGAGAGAGAGAGAGAGGAGAGGAGGAAGGAGGAGGGAGGGAGGGAGGGAGGGAGGGGGAGGGAGGAAGGAGGAAGGAGGAAGGGAGCAAGGAGGAAGGGGAGAAGAGAGAGAGAGAGAGAGAGAAGAGAGAAGAGAGAGAGAGAGAAGAGAGAGAGAGAGAGAGAAGAGAGAGAGAGAGAAAGAGAGAGAGAGAGAAGAACAACAAACAAAAGAGATAAAGAGAAAAAGGAAGGCATGAATCAGAGTCAAGAATCAGATTCAAACAATATATAGGAAACAAATGGTTTATAACACAAATATCAATAAAGAAAATGTAAAACATAAATAAATAAAGTTTGTAAAGTTGTGTGTGTGTGTGTGTGTGTGTGTGTGTGTGTGTGTGTGTGGTGTGTGTGTGTGTGTGTGTGTGTGTGTGTGTTGTGTGGTGTGGTTTGTGCGCGCGCCCCCGTCCATTAAATGCGCGAATCTTCCGTTGTTGCCAAACATTACCGGGTAATGTCGTCCAGATTTTAAATGCGAAAATGCACACAATACCAAAGCGGCCGTGGACAACGCGGACACATACTTCTGCATACAAAAAACTAGCACACTTTCGTGTAAAGAAAAAAAAATCAGTTATCTGTTGTTATCACGTGTGTGAGCGCCTGTGTGCGTGTGTGACTCATCTTCATACTTCGCTGAACGTGACTGCCATGCGCAACATACCGTCAAGGTTGTGGCGCCTCACGCCGTTTGTGCAAGTGCAGACGAGGAGCGGGGGGACGGGAAGAAGGGTAGGAAGGAAAGGAGAGGAAGGAGAGGAGGAAGAGGAGGGGGAGAAGAAAGAAGAAAGGAGGAGGAGGAGAAAGAAGAGAATGAGGAGGAAGGAAGAGGAAGAGAAAGAGGAGGAGGAGGACGGAAGAGGATGCAAAGGAAATAAAACCAAGAGCAAAGGAGGACGTGAATAGACGAGCATAAACGAGAATAGGTGAAGGAGAGAGACGGTGAAGCTAATTGTAAAGAGCAAGAGGAAGGGAGAGGAAGCAAGAGGAAAATGCAGCGGCTGAAGCTGGTGACTCGTAAAGCCGCAACCATGACGAGGCATCAAACATCGCTTGAACAAATTATCTCTTTCCTTCTCTCTCTCTCTTTCTCACTCCCTCCTTTCCTCCTTCCCTCCCTCCCTCGTTCTCTTTATCTCCCCTTTTACAAAATACAAAACTCTCCCTCCCTTCCTCTGATTTTTGAAAGCGCCCGTTCGTATTTTTTTCTCCCTCTCCATACTGCTTTCCTGTATCCATTCCATCGACAATTTTTTATCCCCGTATTTTTGTTATTGTTCCTTCACCTAGGGAAGAGAAAACAAGTAAGGGCATAAAAGCGAAAAAGTAAAAAGAAAATGATAGAGGAAGTGATGAGTGAGAGTGAGAGAGAGAGAGAGAGAGAGAGAGAGAGAGAGAGAGAGAGAGAGAGAGAGAGAGAGAGAGAGAGAGAGAGAGAGAGAGAGAGAGAGAGAGAGAGAGAGACGGGGGGGATGACAGGCAGGGAAGGAAGAAGAGAAAGAGAGGGAGGTGGGGGGGAGAAAGGGAAATGGAAAGGGAAAGAGAAAGAAAAAGAAAAAGAAAATAAGAGGAGGAGAAGGGAGGGGAGGGGAGGGGGAGAGGGAGGGGAGAGAGAAGGAGGGGAGGGAGAGAGAGAGGGGGAGGGGAGGGGGAGAGGAGAGGGAAGGAAGAGGGGGAAGGGAAGAGAGGAAAGAGAGAGAGAGGAAGAGGGAGAGAAGAGGGGGAGAGAAGAGGGGGAGAGAAGAAGGAAGAGAGAGAGGAGAGGAGAGGAAGAGGGGAGAGAGAAGAGAGGAGTGAAGAGGAGAGGAAAAAGTTTCGAGGGGGAGAGAGAGTGGGAAAGTGGGTAAGGGAGAAGAGAGGGGAAGAGAGGGAGAAGAAGACGGAAAAGACGGGGCAAAAGTGGGGAAGGAAGGGCGCGAAGAAGAGCAGAAGGAAGAGAGAAACAAAACAAAACAAAAAACAAAAGGCTAAGAGAGAACAGGCAGCACGCGTCATGGAATTCGATTCTCGCTTTCCAATCTAATGCCCAAACTTGCCTTACACCTGCGAGGTGACATCAGAATTTCAAATCAAACCAGATACACCGGAGGAAGGCGTGGGACGATGGGCTCCTGTGAGGGCCGAGTCGGCGGGCGGAGGAGCGGGCGGGGTACGAGAGGGGGGATGGGGCGGGGTAGGGATGAGGCGGGGTACGAGGAGTGGGGTAGGGATGGGCGAGGTAAACAGGAGGGGTTATGGATGGAGTGGGGGTAGGGGGGATGGGGGTACTTGGTGGGGGTGGGGAAGGGGCGGGGTGGGGTGGTGGAGTAGGGAAGGGCGGGGGGGTGGTGGGGGGGGGGTAGGGATGGGGGGTACCAGGGGGGGTAGGGATGGGGCGGGGTACCAGGTGGGGTAGGGATGGGGCGGGGGGTACAGGTGGGGTAGGATGGGGCGGGTACCGGGGGGGGTACGTAGGGATGGGGCGGGAGGTAGGGGGAGGGGGCGGGGGGAGGGCGGGTACAGGTGGGGGTAGGGATGGGGGGGGTTGTGGTGGGGGTAGGGATGGGGCGGGTACCGGTGGGTGGTGGGGTAGGATGGGGGGAGGTGGGGTGGGAAGTACCAGGTGGGGGTAGGGATGGGGCAGGTGGGGGGGATGGGCGGGGTACCAGGTTGAGAGTAGGATGAAGGGGAGATTGGGATGGGACAGGAGAGGGGGATTAAAAAAAACATGGGGTAGGAATGGGGAAGACAGGAATGAGGAAAGGAGGGGGTAGGAATGGGACAAACAAGAATGGGGTGAGGAGGGGGTAAGGATGGAGCAACAGCAGAGGAGTACGGAAAGGGGGGGGAGGGGGAGGACCTGGGCAGAAAGAAGCGGGGAACGGTGGAGGAGGGATTTTTACGGGGCAGAAAAAAGCTCGCTAGAGGGTACAGGTAAAGGGCTGAAGAGAGGAGAAAGACAAACAAGGAATGGAAAGGGAGAGAGAGGGGGTGGGCAGCAAGGAGGAGGTGGAGGAGGAGGAGGGAGAATGTGGAAGCTTGGACAGGAGGGTGAAGGGCAGCGATGAGAGGGAAGGAAATGGAGAAAGAGGTGGGTGGGCAAGAAGGGGGAAAGGAAAGTGGAATAAACGAAATGGGGGGAAGAGAGTGGGAGGAGGGGAAAGGTCTTGGTGGTGGACGTGGTACACACAGAAGGAAAACCGGGGAACACGCCAACCACACTAACTCTCCTCTGCTACCCACCCATGTAGAGGGGAAGGTGCAGGGGCTGGAGAAGTAGTAGGGTAGGCGGGAAGTGGTAGCCAGTAGCGGGGCAGGGGTAGCGGGAAGTAGCAGGGTAGCGGTAGCAGGGTAGCGGGAAATAGCAGCGGGAGCAGTAGCGGGAAGTAGCAGGGGCAGCGAGACGTAGCAGGGGTAGCGGGAAGTGGCAGGGAGAAGGAGCAAAACTACAATACTGCAGTTTTGCTACTTCGAGTCCTCTCTGGCCGTATCACGTGAGCCTCAATTTCGCAGGATCATCGCACCGACGCTGGCCGGAAGTGTGGTCTCGCACTGCCAACTTACGTGCTCATAAGAAGGATGGCTGGGAGCGAGGGTTGCCATCCATAAATGTAAATGTACCGATATTACGATAATACTACATGTGGTGATAATACTAATCATAATTTTCTGCTGTTGGCAATATTACAATGACCCCAATATCAAAAAGATACAACAATAATCACAATGAAAACTATAGTAGGCATAGTGGCGACAGTAGTAAAGATAGTGACGACAACGAACAGCCTAAAATACTGGCCACGGATATTGATAATGAAAATGGACTGTGATCCAAACACACTGACAACTATCGTCAGCAGGCTAATAGTTTAAAACGTAGAAAATGCAAAATACAAAACTATCAAGAAGCAAGGTAAAGGAGATGCAAATGGAAATAGCGAGCAAAATAATAAGAGGGAAACGAGGAGTAGGAGGAGCAGGAAGGAGAAGGAGGAGAGAAGGAAGAGGCGAACAAGGAGGTGGAGGAGGAGGAGGAGGAAAAAGGAGGAAAGGGGGGGGGGAGTAGGAGTAGGAGTAACAGTAGCAGCAGCATTACTAGTAGGCGGAGGAGGAAGGAAGGGGAGGGGAGTAGCAAGGTGATGCAAAAGAGTGACTAACACCCTGGCAGCCTCTCAGCATCAAGCGCCGAGCGTCGGAGTGCCCTGGGATAATCCAATCTCTCCGTGAGCCGACAACACCGGCGGAGGCGGAGGTGATGTTTCTGTTCCATTTCATCACGTCCGGAACGGCGCTTCCGTCCCCGCCGCTCGGCCAACGAGTTTCGCACTCTCCTGCTCCTGTTTTGTGTTCCTGCTCCCGCTCCTGTTTGTGTTCCTGCTCCCGCTCCTGTTTGTGTTCCTGCTCCCGCTCCTCCTGCTCCGCTCCTGTTGTGTTCCTGCTCCCGCTCCTGTTTGTGTTCCTGCCCGCCTGTTTTGTTCCTGCTCCCGCTCCTGTTTGCGTTTGCTCCTGCCCCTGCCCTCCTGCTCCTGCTCCTGCTCCGTTCCTGCTTTGTGTTCCTGCTCCCGCTCCTGTTGTGTTCCTGCTCCCGCTCCTGGTTTTGCTGTCCTGCTCCGTTTGTGTTGCTTGTGTTCCTGCTCCCGCTCCTGTTGTGTTCCTGCTCCCGCTCCTGTTTGTGGTCCTGCTCCCGCTCCTGTTTGTGTTCCTGCTCCGCTCCTGTTTGTGTTCCTGCTCCCGCTCCTGTTTGTGTTCCTGCTCCCGCTCCTTGTGTTCCTGCTCCCGCTCTTGTTTGTGTGTTCCTGCTCCCGCTCCTGTTTGTTCCTGCTCCTGCTCCTGTTTGTGTTCCTGCTCCCGCTCCTGTTTGTTCCTTGCTTCCGTTCCTGTTCCTGCCCTGTTGTTCCTGCTCCCGCTCCTGTTGCGTTCCTGCTCCTGCTTTTGCTTCCGTTCCTGCTCTAGTTCCCCTCCTGTGTCTGACTCGAGCCCTGGCTAGGCCCTCGAGTGTCTTTGCACGTTTGTTTGTCCCTGGGTGTTTATCCCCGAGTGAGCCTGTATTAGCTCCGGAGTAGAGCAT